GCTTTTGGACATTACATGGTCGGACAACTTACAAAGAAATTTCAGAATGCAAAGTTCAAAGATGATTTCTTCAAGCTCAGAGAACATGTCAAAGAAATTTTTAAGAAAGACTTTGGTGTGAAGAAACCCAGAAGGTAATCTGAAAATTCTCTTAAGCTGATATTCTCTATTTTCGAACCTCTGTTGCGTTTTTCTCTATAAATTCGAAATATATCAATAATAATTTCCCATGGTCTATTTTGAGTCTTTAATTTTATTTGTTTAATGTAATTAGACTTTCGTGAATTAAAAGACAAGAAATATGTCAAACGCACGATAAAATTAAAAATTGATGATGATCAAAATAAAAATAATTCAAGATGCGTTTAGGAGCTTGTCTAAAAATTTAATTCACAAGTTTCTTTTGATTGTGTCTAGAAAACCATTTGTTAAACTCTTCTTGGCTTTGTCAAATAAAATTGAGCAAAAACATTATTTTTCAAAGACTTAAAGCCAATGACTGAGTATAGGTTTTGGCATTATCAAAAGGGGGGAAATTGTTAGGAATAAAGTGTAATGGTTTTGATATGCCAAATTTGTATTTGTAGATCCCCCAATTTTATTTATAGGTCTAGTAGAGTCTTAGACCGTGATCGGGAAATTATTTAATTATGAAAAGAGAAAAACAGAGGAAAATGGATGAAAATAGAAGAAGAAGATATAAAGCCGAAAATCAAGAATTTATCTGGAGAAAATGACAAATTGAAGAAGAAGATGAATGATACAATATTCACGTCGCTACTACTCAAAGAAGATATCCCAGAAGAATTTTCGTGAAGAAAATTAATTTTGGAAGAATGCATGAAATTGACTTAGAGATCAAGCATCTATGGAAAGAAAGAAGTACATCAAATGTGATTGGAGATTTAATCAAAAGCTGTACGGACGAAGTGGATGATGCTTGATATATTATTCGAAATGGCTCAAGTTCGAAACTCATCATTAACAATTTTACAAGGTAAAATTTGAGAAGTCATATTAAATTAATCTGATGGAGTTGGGCGCTAGAAATTGGGAAGCAATTGCACTTGGGAGCCGATTTCATAGAAATTGAAATTGGGAGCTAGTTCGAAGCAATTGAAATTGGGAGCCAGTTTCTCTTGGGAGCTAGTTCGAAGCAATTGAAATTGGGAGCCAGTTTCAGAGAAGGAGAAGTCTGGGAGCCAATCTCAAAGTCAAATTCAAATTGGGAAGCAATTGAAAGCACCAGGAGCAGTTGGGAGCCAATTGCAAGTCAAAGTCAATTGGGAGCCAATTGCAAGTCAAAGTCAACTGGGAGCCAATTACAATGGAGAAATTCGAAGGAGAAATTCAAATTGGGTGCCAATTACAAGCCAATTGAAATTGGGTGTCAATTACAAAGGAGAAATTCAAATTGGGTGGAAGTTCAAAGCCAGTTTGAAGTCTGAGAACACCCAGACGTGAGAATGAAGAAGATGAAGCAGAACTTACAGTGAAAAATATTCTCACAAGGAAAATACTAGTCTAACTAGTATGGGATTAAAATAAAGATTATTTTTGAATCCCAAAGATACAAGGACCACTTCAGAGCTGATCAGAGAAGCCATTCTACACCAAAACTGAGACCCAGATATGTCTACTCAACGTTAAACCAGAGGAATATCAGATGAAGTTTGGGAGCTCATTTACATGGAGATGAAACTCCATGAACGGCTAGCTTATCTCTTTCTGACATTTTTGCAGAAGATAAGATAAGATCTCTGACAAAAGACACAAGATTTCAAAAATGAGAGCGTCTCTTTCCAACGGACAGATTCTCATTACCAGCTATAAAATGATGAAGATATGAAGACTTGAAGATGGGGAACTCACGAACAAGAGAGCAGAAAATTCGAATCCATCAAGGGATCGAATAGAGCAATTAAGCTTAAAAGAGCATAGAGCAAAAAATCTCATTTGGTATAAGAGCATATCAAAAAAAATCTTCAAGTGAGAAGTGAGAAAAGAAAAAGAACTCAGAGAGCTTCAAAACAGAAATATTCTGAGAGTTCTTAAACAGAACAAAGGAGAGCAAAATATCAAGTGCTTTACTTGATATATTCAAAAAGAGAAAACACCCAGAGCTGTTAAGAGAAATCATTCCAGAGTGTTTATCTTCATCAAAGAGACCTGCGCATCATTGAAGATCATCTACAGAGTCTCAGAAGTTGGAAGCAAGACAACACTTGTTTTGGAGCAAAACAAGAGAAGGGAGGAAAGTAACACGGAGCTGTGAAATCCTAGATTGTCACACGGAGCTGTGAGATCCGAAGCAGCAGTGTCGGAGGCACTGGGCGTGAATGGTGTGGGCTTGGTGATCAAAGCACCAGATCACGGATACGTTTCTACCGGAGTGTGGAAGACGGGGGGAAAGTAACGCGGAGTCGTGAAATCCTGGGATAGTAGCGCGGCGACGTGAAACCCGAAGCAGCAGTGTGGTGTCACTTGGCGTGATTAGTGCGGGCTTTGTGATCAAAGCACTAGATCATGGAAATTCATTGTATCTTGGAACCAAGGAGTGGTAGATATAGTGAATTGGCTCTTAGAGAAAAGAGCAAGTGGAGTAGGAGGATTACACCACCTCGCGGACCACTATAATTGTCTTGTGTTCTTTACTGCTTTCTTTACATACTGCTCTTTACATATTCGCTCTCACGAAGATATACTGCTCACACAATCTCACACACACTTTATGTTTATTTATTTCCGCTGTGCATCATACTCTAACAATCTAGTTAAGAGTTTTGGTTTATCTCTGTCTTAGCAATTGTTGTGCTGTGCAAAAAAGTTTGAAAGTCTATTCACCCCCCCCCCCCCCCCCCCCCCGCTCTAGACTTTCACCCTACCTCTTTTGGGACCAACATTATTCTTTATTGTGACTTGGTTAAGTTCCATGTAGTCGATGCATAGGCGCATGCTCCCATCCTTCTTTTTAACAAACAACACTGGCGCTCCCCATGGGGAGGTGCTAGGACGGATGTGTTAGACATATATTTTATATATCTTTTATTGTATAGTTTATAATAATGCTGTTATTGACTTACTGAGAGATCTAGTCTTTAGCCTAGTTGTTAGCTCTCTCTCTTATGTCTATATTTGTATTCTCCCGTTCTGTTATGAATTGATTGAAACTGTTCCACTCTCATCTGGTATCAGTTAGCCAATAGGAATCCTAGAATCTTATTCTCTCCTCCTCTCTTTTTGACCATGTCGCAGAGTTCAGAGAGAACCATCACCACCACCTCCGTTTCCTCCCCTAATCCCCCGAATTCCTTACCGAGTGCACACCATTTTGTGTCACTCAAATTAACCCACAGAAATTACCTATACTGGCGTACCCCAATCATCCCGTTCCTCCGTGGGCAGCGTTTGCTCGGGTTCATCGACGGCTCCCGTCCGTGCCCGTCACCGGTGATCCACACTTCTACCGGCGAAGCTGCGATAGACACGGCGTCTGTGACTCCTAATCCGGCCTATGAGGCGTGGCTGGAACACATAATCAAGCCTTGAGTCGTGTCTTACGGGATTGCCCGATTGTACCCACAAATAATATCATGCCAAAATTATGTACTTCATGTCAACTTGGGAAATCATCCCGATTTCCATTAGATAGGGTTCATAGTTCTAGTCATGGTGTTTTAGATTTAATTTACATTGATATCTGGGGCCCCGCACCTATTCTTTCTGCGGATGGCACGCGCTATTTTGTACTGTTCGTAGATGATAATACCCGCTATTGTTGGTTTTATCCTCTACGATTGAAAACCGATATATATAAAGTCTTTGATGTGTTTAGGGCGATGGTAGAACGTACGTTTTCACGTTCTATCAAGTCCATTCAGTCCGATCTGGGGGGGGAATACCAAAAATTACACAAATTGTTCACTACCTTGGGAATTGTACACAGACAGTCTTGTGCGTATACACACGAGCAAAATGGCCGTGTTGAGCGTCGAAATCGACACATTGTCGAGACTGGTCTGGCTCTAATGGCCCAGGCATCTGTTCCACAACGCTATTGCGATCATGCCTTTGAAACTGCAACCTTCTTAATTAACAGATTACTGTCATCCTCACTACAGTTTGATACACCGTTTTATCGCCTATATAAGCAACCACCCAACTATACATACTTACGAGTATTTGGGTGCCTTTGCTTTCCTTATCTCCGGCCTTATAACCGTCACAAAATTGAGTTTCGCTCGAGTCCATGCGTCTTCTTAGGTTACCCACCGTCCTTTAGGGGTTACCGCTGCATAGACCTAAACACTGGGAAAACCTATACCTGTCGTCATGTTCGTTTTGACAAGACTGTTTTCCCTTTTGCAGTTAATTCCATGGCAATAAGCTCCAAGGCGTCTACATCAGAAGTGCCATGGGCCTCCTGTCCTGTGGCCCATCAACCTAGCCCGGTCCCTCCCGTCCTACCTCCACCGCCAGTGGCTGCACCGCAGCCACCGAAGGCACAACCGAGGAAACGGGGAAGGCGGGTTCAGGTCCTACAAGACCGGTCACACACTATGCGGCTCCGGCGCATGACTCAGGGGTCCGGGGAACAGTTACATGCCCTCGTTGCATCAACTGATGATCCGACCTGCTACTCACAGGCGGTTGGACATCCGCAATGGCGGGATGCTATGGACCAGGAGTTTAATGCACTATTGCATAACAGTACTTGGCAATTAGTTCCGGCCTCTCCAGACATGAACATTGTGGGTTGCAAGTGGGTTTTCCGCACAAAGCGGAAGGCCGATGGTTCAATAGAGCGCTATAAAGCCCGGCTAGTAGCCAAGGGCTTTAATCAGGTGGCCGGGTAAGACTTTTTCGAGACGTTTAGTCCGGTGGTCAAGCCCACTACAGTCAGGATACTTTTATCTTTTGCAGTATCTCGACGGTGGACGCTACGTCAGTTAGATGTCCATAACGCCTTCTTGAATGGGCATCTAGCCGAGAAGGTCTATATGCGACAGCCGCCGGGTTATGAAGACCCAGATCGGCCCGATTATGTGTGTCACTTACAGCGGTCCCTCTATGGGTTGAAGCAAGCCCCGAGGGCCTGGTTCAAGCGTTTGCATGATTTCTTGCTTATCACGGGGTTTGTTGCCTCGAAGACGGATGTATCCCTTTTCCATTACTCTGCAGGGGACTCAAGAGTCTTTTTGCTCGTATACGTGGATGATATCATTATGCTTGGGAATGCACCATCCCTAGTTCACACGTTACTCGGTAAATTAGCGGCAACGTTCAAGATTCGTGATCTTGGAACTCCCACGTTCTTCCTAGGCATTGAAACCTTAAGTGTTCCCGGAGGACTAGTTCTTTCTCAGCGCCGCTATATGCGTGACATCCTACAACGGGCTGGTATGACCGAGTGTAAAACGCTTGCAACTCCCGCTTCTGTTTCTCAGCCAGTTAGTCAGTCCACGGAGTCGTTTGACAACCCGACTCTTTATCGACGTCTTGCCGGTGCGCTGCAGTATCTCACCATCACACGCCCGGATCTATCCTATTCGGTGAACCGTCTGTGTCAGTTCATGCATTCACCCACAGAAGAACATTGGGGGCTCCTTAAACGTGTGTTACATTATGTTCGTGGTACTTTGGACTACGGGTTGCAGATTTCTGCGTCTGCGTCCGCCGACATTCATGTGTACTATGATTCCGACTGGGCTGGGTGCCCAGTTGACAGGAAGTCTACTAGTGGCTATGCCGTATTCTTGGGGTCGAATCTGATATCCTGGGTGTCCCGAAAGCAACGTACAGTTGCACGATCGTCCATTGAGGCTGAGTACAAGGGATTGGCAGATGCGTGTGCAGAGGTTACTTGGGTTGTTTCATTGCTTAATGAGCTTGGTCTAGGCTCATTGACGGCTCCGACGTTATGGTGCGACAATCTTGGAGCCACATATCTCTGCGCCAATCCAGTCTTTCACGCTCGTACGAAGCACGTTGAGGTCGACTATCACTTTGTTCGGGACAAAGTCTCTGCAGGACAGCTTCAGGTTCACTTCGTTTCTACCAAAGATCAGCTAGCGGATATCTTCACCAAACCGCTACCAGCAGCTCGGTTTGGAGCGTTGCGTGACAAGCTCAATGTGGTGTCTCACTCACCTTGTGCTTGAGGGGGAGTGTTAGACATATATTTTATATATCTTTTATTGTATAGTTTATAATATTGCTGTTATTGACTTACTGGGAGATCTAGTCTTTAGCCTAGTTGTTAGCTCTCTCTCTTAAGTCTATATTTGTATTCTCCCGTTCTGTTATGAATTGATTGAAACTGTTCCACTCTCATCGGATGTAGCCCTTGTCTAGCAATTCCTGCAGTTGCGTCTTCAGTTCCTTCATTTCTTTTGGTGCTAACCGGTAGGGTGGTTTAGAAATCGGGGCAGCGCCCGGTACGAGATCTATGGTGAACTCGACTTCTCTGGCTGGGGGTGCCCCGCGGATTTCGTCCGGGAAGACGTCGGTAAATTTGTTTACCACTGGAATGGTTTGTGTTTCGGGGGTTTTGGTGCTGAGGTCCTTGACCGAACATAGGAAGGCCTCGCTTCCCTTGTTTAGGTATTTCTTCATTTTTATCATGTTCACCACTCTGATCCCGGCCTCCCGGTGGGTCCCACGGTATGACACCATCTTACCGCCTGGCCCCCGTAGGACCACTTTTTGTTCTCCGCATAGGATTTGTGCTTGGTATTTCCCTAGCCAATCCATGCCCAAGATCACCTGTACCCCATCCAGTTTGAATCGGATTAAGTTGCTGGGAAATTCCACCCCTTGTATGGTGATCACTATATTTTCGTACATGCGGTCGCATTCTAGGTTTTCGCCTGAGGCCACCTTGACCTGAAGTCGGACCTTGGTGCTGGCGTTGAGGCCGAGCTGAGTGGCAAACTCGGTTGCTATAAACGAGTTGGTAGCCCCTGAGTCAAACAATACCGTGGCGGGGGTGGCGTGTAGTTGGAATGTTCCGGAGACTATGTTGCTATCCCCAATTTTGGCTTTGCTTAGAGTAAGGATTCTTCCTTGAATGGTTGTCGCCATGACTTGGCGTGGTGAGGCGGCCCTGGGGTTTTTAGGGCCGCGGGTGGAGTTTATGTGATTTTCTTTTGTACCCCAGGCGTGTTTCCCGGGGTTGGTTTGGCACTTGTTGTAGTTGGGACGCCTTGGCATAGGCCTCCCCGAGGGTTCCTGGCTTTTGTGTGGCCAGGGCTTTTTGATATTCGGGGTCAAGGCCTGTTATGAACCTTCCAATCCTAGTCCTCTCGGTGGGTACTAGCTCGGGGATGAGGCGAGCCAGTCGGTGGAATTGTTGGTAGTATTCCGTGATCGAGGTTGCACCTTGTCTTAGGTGGAGGAATTCTTCGTATATGGTGGCTCTTAGATGGTTGGGATAGAATTGTTCTCGTAGCCGTGTTTTTAGGGTTTCCCAGTTGAATCCGGGGTCTTGTTCGCAGGTGGGTCCTTCGTGAGCCCACCAGGTGTCGGCCTCGTGTCTGAAGTAGAAGGTGGTCATTCTTACTTGGTGTCCTTCGGGGCATTTAGTTGCCCTGAATATCTTGTCGAAAGTCCCGATCCACTCCTCGAGGGTCGTGGGGTCTTCGTTCCCCGAGAGGGTGGGTGGTTAGTGTGTCGAGACTTGGTGGTGGATCTCCAAGTTCTCGTTTGTTGGTAAAGGCTGGGAAACGGTAGTACTTAGTGCCTGGGCAATTTAGGCCAGGCGTTGCAGATTCTGAGTCAGGAATTCCTGAGTGGGGAGTTTCGGTGTTCCTACCTATCTTCTTTTCGGCGCCATCCTGGTGTTCATAGGTCGATGTTATTTTGCGTCCTTACCTTGATGCAATAAGTGAAGGGGGGGTTTCTTTAAGTTAGAGAGGGATAAAGTGAGGAGAGGTTATGTGTAGGTTTCACAATCTCACCGCGCGTCCTATGATTCCTAAATCCTATGTTCCTAAGTACCTAGAGTTTAAGCTTAATGTCCTAAGGTCTGATCTTAAGAGTCTTATCCTAGGGCCAACTTAGGCTCTGGTAACAACTGTAACACCCCGAAATTTCAAGATATTTAAATCTTATAAAATAAAGGCGAAATCTCATTAAATCCCAAAACGTAACACAAGAGTACGGGGTGCTATGCCACACCTGAGCTAGAGAACTCAGGTGCACAGGCTAACTAACTAATATCCTTGATAATGTAAATGCATAAGCATGGCACGCAGGCCGAAAGGGAAACTATCTACTTCTACGCTCCAATTTCTAGCGCGCTCCAGTGACTTATTCTTCTGTTCAGCGAGAGATGCTGGTAACCCACTCCAACGCGTTGAAATTCAATACATATAGAGATATATATAGATATACGAAAACCATTTTGAGCATGAAGATATATCCTACGAACTCTAGCTTTTAAAACCGGGAATGACTCGACAGATAAGGCTAGACACAAGCAACAGTTATAACAAGCGTATACAATCCAGAACAGGCAAGACAGATAAAGCTGAGCACAATTAATAATCATAACCCAACATAAACAATCCCCAGCATAAATCCCATAGTCACATCCCCCAAGATACTCATAATCACAACTCATCCATATCTCATCACATAGCACACTTTGTTGGCGCCACAGGACCAATCGCATGCCCATACATGAGGGTCAGTGCATATAGCTCTGACACGGCCCCGCAGCACCCTGCCCCGTATCGCAACACGGAGGGGTCGATCGCAACCGACCGATGAACCGCAGCTCATCATAATGTTTGATCGCAACCAAACAGTGGACCGCAGCCCAAGAGAATGTCATCTGACCGCAGCCAGGAAATATGAACCGCAGCTCATGTAGAAACGTTTGATCGCAACCAAACGGTGGACCGCAGCCCAAGAGTATAAATCTGACCGCAGCCAGCTTCTGAACCGCAGCTCAGGAATAACCAATCCGATCGCAACCTAGTTGGGGTGTCATGCACACATAACACATAGCAAGAACATGCAACCCACATTAACACATTGGGAAGGGGAGAAAGCGTATAACAAAACCTATGCGTGATCCTTCACATACTAAGAATGGTCTTAAGGGGTTCATACTTCTTCCACCTAGGTCAACGGAATTCCAATTCAACTAGCATGCAATATATAAGACTCATAAACCTACGAACGGTACCCGAAACATCAAACTAGACACGGCACGATGAATGGAGTCCGTTGGGACACCACGGGGATCAGGGAAACATCAAACGGGGAAGCCGGGGTCCCGAATGGGGGAGATTTCCAGCGGGTAGCCGGTGGGTGGGGGGGCCACCCGCTGGCTGCCCGCCGGTAAGCACTGTTCCGGGCAGCGGGTCGCCGGCGGGCAGCTGCCCGCCCGCCGGCTGCCCGCTGCCGGAGACGTCCCTTCTGGCCGCGGGTAGGTGGCGGGTCCCCTACCCCCCACTGACTCTTTATACACAAAACGCCCCGGGAACCATTGTGGAACCCGAAACCATGCTTAGACACTTTACAACGCAATTAACGATCAAAACGTAGACACTTAACGGATCAAATACGAGAAACGTACGGCACATAACCTATCATGCTTTTCTAAACATAATCGACACCCAAACATGCGATTTCCCCACCCGATACACCAAGAATAATATCATACGATACAACCTAGGGTTCTAATCACTTTTATACCAACAAGAATACGATTTGTCTTCTAATTACAAGATTCGGTAAGGATATCACATAAGCATCAAGAATGCCATACAATTATCAAGAACGACATATAAACGTCAAGAACTCCACATAATCATCAAGAACACCATAATTATCAAGAATCTCCCAATATCAAGATCACCCATTGAATTATCCCATCAATCATTAATAATAATATCACAAATCATCAATACACAATCATATGGGGAAATCCTACGGGGGAAATCATAGCTATGAAAATAGGTTTAGTTGAGACATGGGTTACCTCTTAGCCTTAATTAATTCCTTGGCTATGAAGGGTCTTTCATTAAGCTCTCTTGCTTTCTTGATTTCTTCTAAGGGGATTCTTGGAGCTCTTTCGGGGTGGTGGGCTGTTATTCTCGTGGGGGGTTCTAGGTGCCCTCTAGGTTCCCTATTTATATATCTAAGGGTCTTATTTTAGGATCTAATCCTTTTAGGACTAGGGGTTGGGGTTAGAGATGGGGGCCCACGGACTATGGTGGGCTTTTTCCTAATTAATTTCTGTAATTTAATTCTTTCTTTTGGGTAATTGATTAAAGGATTAATTGGTTTTAGGGGTCGTAACACGGGGTGTTACAAAGGAGATACCACAACAAGCTGCAGAAGCATGAACGGGATTGCCACAAGTCCACCCTAGAAGGACTCGCTCTCAGACTCCACGGTGTCTTCATCAGACTCTTCGTTGGCTATTCCTCAGCTAGAACTGGCCTCAAGTTGATCCACCCTCTGGTTAACTGTGATGAACTACGTCTTCAAAAACAGAAGCAACTAAACCAACTACCCAAAATACAAGCTATAACCACGGCAGACAAGAGAGAACGACTAAACGCAAAACTAAGAAAACAACTACCAACGAACCTATTATCAAAACAAGCAAGGGATGCAACAAGGTTCCATAACGAAAATGTTCGGCTAGCGAAACAGATGAAAAAGATTAAGAGATGAGTTGCAAACGAGGTTTTAAGCAACAAAGGTGTTCGCCACTAACCAAAGTTAGAGAAAACAAGGGTTCAGATTAAGGTGGTAGAATTGATAGGCTTGGACACAAAAAAATTCAACACCAAAACCGTCGGTTAACAAAACAAGAGACAAGACATAGAGATAGGTTGAGGGTTCACAAAGGTAAGACAAGAAAGAAAGATAAGGTGATAGATAAAAGATTTACCGGAAAGGAAAGCTAACTTTACACCGAGCCTAACCCTGCTCAAAATTAGCCAACGATCTACTCAAAACGAGACGGCTCAACTAAGGAACAAGCCTCAAACAGAAACTGACACCACAAGAACTTTAACTAGATCACTCGGGATCACAGAACCAGGGTTGCATCATCAACTGATCTCTGCTGGCTTCTTCAACCAAAGGAAACAAGGTACCCCCACTACTTAACTTGAGCTGGGCATCTGCTTGAACTTGA